AGAGTCACAGCTTCAATGTCAAATGTGACAGTGGATCCAGAGGTAACTGCAGGCAACTGATTAGTCATTTCTTTTCCATTGACAAAAACTGCACCTGAAACGTTAAGAGACATTCACCTGTGAGCAATGACTGAGAGAATCAAAACTGACTCCTACTTCAGAAAATGAAACAATCCAGAATCGGGTATTGATAATGAATTAAAATAGAGATTAACTCCCATTTCCACAGCCAGAGGACAACTGTGGAGTTGGTTTTCTCTTCACACCTTCATGTGGGTTCCAGGATCAAACTCAGGTTTTTGGATTTGCATGGCAAGTGCTTTATCTACTGAGCCAACTCACAAGCCCTAACTTCTTGTGTGTGTGTGTGTGTGTGTGTGTGTGTGTGTGTGTGTGTGTGTGGTGTGTATGTATGTCTGTGTGTATGTGTGTGTATGTCTGTGTGTGTATGTGGTATGTGCGTGGTGTGTGTGTATGTGTGTGTATGTGGTATGTGTGTGTGGTTTGTGTGTATGTGTGTGTGGTGTGTGTGTATGTCTCTGTGTGTGTGGTGTGTGTGTGTGTGTGTGTGTGTGTGTGTGTGTGTATGTCTGTGTGTGTGGTGTGTGTGTGTATGTGGTATGTGTGTGGTGTGTATGTCTGTATGTGTGTGGTATGTGTGTGTGTGTGTATGTGTGTGTGTGTGTGTGTGTGTGTGTGTTCTCATAGCAGAGCAGGACTGTTGGCTGTTTCACTACATGGTGCCTTCTGTAGCAGTAAGGGAGTCCTTGGGGAGGGGCCTTCCATCCCGGCCCACTCGAGTATCTCACCATTTGTGCTGATGCACACAGCTTGATCCCGCTGCAGAGAGTCGTAGCCGTTCTGCTTCTCCGCACACACTCCTATGCTGTCTCTTCTGTCGGGCTGTCCCACAGTCTCAACTCTACAATTGAGGTAGAAAGGTCATTTCATCTCTCTCTTGTTGAAATGTAACGTGAGACTGGCAAGACAGTACCCAGCACCTACACCAGGTAACTCCCAGCCACATGCAGCTCCAGTTTCAAAGGATCCAATACCTTCTGGTCTCTACAGGCTTTTGCAAACATGTAACAGACACAGACACAGACACACATCACACACACAGACACACACAGACACACAGACACACACACACACACACACACTAAATCTTAAAAGCTAGTTCCAGGACAGTTAGGGCTACACAAAGAAACCCTGTCTCAACAACAACAACAAAGAAGTCAGGCAGTGAGTGATCTACGACCACCTCCTGGTTTCTCTTCCCACTGTAACAGTGTGGGGAAGAGTCCCTCTGGGTGACATTCCCATGTCTGTAATAAGAGTCCACCTCATCAGTCAATGTACCTCTAGGGGTATCGCTGTAGCAAAACACAAAATTCCAGCCCAGCTGCACTCTCCCTGGGACTATGGAATGTCTCTCCACAGAGCATATGGAGGAACAGACGAGATTCAAAGATCCTAGTTAACAACAATTAACTTCATTTCTGTTTTGTGTTGAGATAAGGTCTTACATAGGTAGCCTAATTGACCTTGAACTCATGATCCTCCTGCCCTAGCCTCTCTGGTGCTGGGAGGAATTATCATGTGTGATGTGCCTGACTCAAACACTAATTTTTTAAAAATAGTATTTTTTATTTATTCTTTGAGAATTTTATGCAAGAATCTATTTAATCATAACCATCTTTCTTCCTGCCTCTAGCTCCTTCCAACACTATCCTCCAACATGTTCCCGCTCAACTTTCCTATTTTTCTTTTTCTTTTAAATATCCCAGAGTCCAATGAGTGCTGCCTGTCACCTGGGTGTGGGACCACCCACTGGAGCAAGAGCCACCTACCAGGGACCCCCTAACATAGAAAACACCTTCCGTAGCAGCAGCTTCTCCACTGCGCTCTTCTAGGTAATACTGAATCGAGCTGGCAGTTTGGGTATTTTCTCTGGTTCTGGAGATGGAGCTCGGAGTCTTCTGTATGCTAACTGCCCATTGCACCACTGAGTGTACCCCCAGTCCTAGACTACTTTTTGAATATAAGAAGCTAACACATATATCTGGTAATGGCAGAAATGAGCTCTGTACAAAAAAAAAAAAAAAAAAATCTCCTTGAGCTTAAAACAAGGTGAGGATGCAGCTCAGTGGCAGAGGCCTTGCCCTCAATATGTTAGGCCCTGGGTTTGATCCCCAGTACTACAAAAAGAAAACAGCCAGGCAAGGTTGGTACAGTAACTGACCGGCCCCCCATACAAACATAGGGTCTCTCTGTGTAGCTGGAGCTGTCTTGGAACTCACTCTGTAGACCAGGCTGTTCTCGAACTCAGAGATTCTCTTGCCTCTGCCTCTGCCTCTCCAGTGCTTGGATTAGAGATGTGGTCGGTTGGTGCATTCTTGTAATGCCAGCGTTTAGGAGGAGAGTTTGAGGCCAGCCTGGGCTACATAAAAAACGATGTCTCACCGGGCAGTGGTGGCGCACGCCTTTAATCCCGGCACTCGGGAGGCAGAGGCAGGCAGATCTCTGTGAGTTTGAGGCCAGCGTGGTCTACAAAGTGAGATCCAGGAAAGGTGCAAAGCTACACAGAGAAACCCTGTCTTGAAAAACCTAAAAACAAACAAACAAACAAAAATCTATGTCTCAGAAACAAAAATCAAGGGCTTGTGAGAAGGTTCAGGGCATGAAAATGGATGCCTTCCGAGTCTGACAACTGAGTCTGATGCACAGAATTTAGGATGTGGAAGCCGAGAACCCACTCCTGAATGCTGTCATCTGACCTGCACAGGCATGCCATGGCATGAGTGCACCTACACACACACACACACACACACACACACATACACACACACACAGAGACACGCACACGCACACACATCTAACCTTCACAGGCATGCCATGGCATGAGTGTGCACACACACACACACACACATACACAGAGACACACACACACATCTAACCTTCACAGGTATGCCATGGCATGAGTGCGCGCGCGCGCGCGCACACACACACACACACACACACACACACCAAACATATGTACATACATCCATACACACACTTGTGCACACACAATAATAAATAAAACAAGCCAGGTATGGTGACACACACTTGTAACCCTAACACCAAACAGGATTGCTGAAAGTTTGAAGCCAGCCTGGGATACACAGTGAGTTCCACTCCGACCAACCTAGGCTATAAAGTAAGACCCTTACCGAGGGGTGTGGAGGATAAAGGATCTACCACAAGCAAACACTGAATCAAATTCACTCATCCCAAAGCTATCAAGCTCTGGATGTGGTAGTACTTGTCACAATACTAGCACTCTGGAGAAAGAGGAAAGAGGACTGCTGCCAAGTTCAAGGACAGCCTGGGGCCAGGGTACCATAGTGAGAACCTGTCTCAAAACACAAATGAATGGCCTCGGGGGCATGGGTTAAAAACTTCAATTGGGGCTAGAGAGATGGCTCAGAGGTTAAGAGCACTGGCTGCTCTTCCAGAGGTCCTGAGTTCAATTCCCAGCAACCACATGGTGGCTCACAACCATCTGTAATGGAATCTGGTGCCCTCTTCTGGCCTGCAGGCATACATGCTATATACATAATAAATAAATTAATCTTAAAAAAAAAAAAACAAAAAACTGCAATTGATGTAAAAGGACCCAAGCCTCTGTGAGATGTGCCATCCCTAAGCATGTGGGCAGGGGTATGCAAGAAAGGTAGCTAAGCAAGTCAGTAAGCAGCTTTCCACTGTCCTCTCTGCTTCCGTTCCTGCCCTGGTTCTCCTCAGGAATGCAGTGGGACCTGTAGGATGCAAGAGGACAGAGAATACAGTGCTAAGAACACAGAGTTTGGAGCGACCAAGATTTGAGTCTTGACATGATCTCTGTGTACTTTTGGTTCTTTACTTGAAGAAGGAAGAAGAGCAGCCTACTTCCTAGGCTTCCAGGGTGAAGGAAGGTTGTTAGCACCAAAGGAAAAGGAAGCTTAAAACCAGGTGATGGAGCCAGGTGGTGGTGGTGGTGGTGATGGCGGCGGCGCACGCTTTTGTCCCAGCACTTGGGAGGCAGAGCCAGGCAAATCTCTGTGAGTTCGAGGCCAGCCTGGTCTACAGAGCGAGTTCTAGGAAAGGCGCAAAGCTACACAGAGAAACCCTGTCTCGAAAAACAAAAACAAACAAACAAACAAACAAACAAAAAACAGGTGATGGGCCAGGCACATAGCTCAGCTGGGAGACCGCCTGCCTGAATTCTATCTCCAGCGCAGCATATGGAGTGTGGTGGCATACTCATGGCCTCTGCAATAAGGAGTTAGGGAGGATCAGAAGTTCAAGGCCATTCTTGGCTTTACAGTGAGTTTCAGGCTAGCCTGGGATACACAAGACCTTGTCTCAAAAACAACAAAACAAACTAAAAAACAGGTGACAGAAAAGAGAAGGTAAAAAGTGTATTTAAAAAGTAATAAGGGGCTGGAGAGATGGCTCAGGGGTTAAGAGCACTTGCTACTCTTGCAAAGGACTGAATTCAATTTCTAGTAACCACAAGAGGCAGCTCACAACCGCCTGTAACTCCAGCTTATGGGATCCAACATCTCTGGCCTCCAAGGGCACCTCCACTCACATGGCATATGCACACCCAGGCATACCCAATTCAAAAGCAGACAGATGATGGTGGTGCCAGGAGAAGGTAAAGAAGCAAAGAAAACAGGAACGTCCAGTAAGGAAACGGGAGGCCTGGAGAAGGCCGTCAGCAGACTCAGGCACCAAGGCAGTCAGACTCGAGGAACAACTCAGCATTCAGCCAGGGACAAGGTCTCACCGGCTTCAGACGCTCTACCAAGCACCATAACCTGTGCCCATAGCCCACACGCAGCCGAGGACAGTTGTGAATTCAGCCCAGTGAAAAACTGTACACTTCCTTAAAATATTTTTATTTAAATTTTTTTGCGATCTCCTCCTCCCCTCTGCCCTAACAGCAGTGCTCAGTTCCCAAGTCCACACTTTCTAGATGACAACGCCAAGTCTCAATGCCAAAAGGCTGGCCACGCCCGCAAGCCCTCCAGAAAGCACAGCAAAGACCAACTGGCTCAGCAACAGAGCAGTGCCTGCCAGAGAACAGCGCCCTTCTCAAGAGAGGTCCTCGAGACATCTTCATGCAGGTACACTCCCCTGCCCCTCCCATCCACCTTCCGGTTTAACAAGGGGTTTAAGAAACTCTTAGTTCACACCCAAGGGGAAAAGGACAAAAATGCAGTTGGGCTAACTGAGCGAAATGGGAGTTTCAGGCACTCACTCAGCCCAGAGGGCCCAGGGAAGCTTCTCTGCAAGAGGACAGAGAATCCAAGTTTGACTGAGACCAGTAAGCAGTGGAGTCAGGTCACTCTGGATCATTGCAATTAGGAAAGCCATCAATCAAATATTGCTCTGTATCCCCAGAGCGGGAATTTAAAACATCAGACAGCATTAAGATGAAGCATATGGGGAGGAAAGAGGTTCTGAACTGGAAAGGAGGGATGGGCAGCTCTGTGGAAGAACAGATGTGCTACCTGCCCAAGGTCTGAAATTCAGCCATAGCACAAGCACCAACACCAGAGTGAGGAGGCAGCGGCAGCAAGAATGGAGACATCCACGTTAGTGAGACTCACACTCCCTTCCTCGTTAGTGAGACTCACACTCCCTTCCTCGTTAGTGAGACTCACACTCCCTTCCTCGTTAGTGAGACTCACACTCCCTTCCTCCTTAGTGAGACTCACACTCCCTTCCCCGTTAGTGAGACTCACACTCCCTTCCTCGTTAGTGAGACTCACACTCCCTTCCTCCTTAGTGAGACTCACACTCCCTTCCTCACAAAAGACAAGGAGATGTGACCACGACACATGCCTAAGATCACCACTTCTCTGGGTGTGGTAATGCATGTCTACCCACACTCAGCAGGGTGAGGCAGGAATTCAGATTCTGGAGACAGGTTCCCTGGATTTCAATTCCAGCTTTGGTACATACTAACTGTGAGACACTGAATAATTAACTTCTTTGTGCCTCGATTTCCTTACTCCAAAAATGGTTAACTACATTTATTACATTAGGCCATCCTAAGAGGAAAGGTGGTTTACTGTGTAGCTCACTTGGCAGAGAGCTTGCCTCGCATTCACAAAGCCCTGGGTCAGTCCTCAGCACGGATAAGCCAGCAGAGTAGCGCACAGCGCTTACCCCAGCTCTTGGGAAGCAGAAGCAATAGGATCAGAAGTTCAAGGTTATTCTCAGCTACATAGCCTAGGGTACATGAAACCATATGCACTAGTACTTGGCACAGGGTAAGTACCATTTGGATAGCAACTGCAATTATTTATTTATCATCATTCTTATCTGAATTCTGTGGCCTGCATCTATCAAGTCTCAGAGGTCTGTTATGTTCATAAGCACCTGGTTTTCAGGAATTTCACTAATGAAAGTATTTTTTGTACACAAAGACATAAGCACAGGAGTCTATTTCAGTAAAGACAATTTACTATGTGGGGCATAAGTAGATTTTGGGTTTCAGGTTCTGTCATAATGAGCTACAGAATACCCCTTCCTGCTCTTGACGGGCAGTGTCAAAGGGATGGTCCCCGGCTGGCAGTGTCAGGAATGGGTGAAAATCCTGTCACCATATATGCTGGCACAGGCCCCAAAGAAACGGAGCCGACCTGTCACAGACTAAAACACCAGAGGAGGAGCCAGACAACCCTCTTCTCTTTGTGAGCTGATTATCTCAAGTGTTTATTAAGGAAATGGAAAGCTAACACAGACTCCTTTCTCTCCTCTCGGCATTTTTCTGGTGATTCAATCATTCTTTCTTTATGACTTAATGGGGGGAGGAGGTGTCCGAAACAAGACAAGCATCAACAAGCATATCCTGACGGTGGAGGTCAGATCAAATGATTTGGCTGGAGGGGACTCAGCAACACTGGCTCAGACAGACTTCCAGATGTTCTCCCTGCCTTACACAAGACATCTGAGCTGGTGAGATGGCTCAGGAAATAAAGACTCTGGTCACCAAGCTGGAGGGCCTGATCTGAACCCCAGGACTTACATGTGGAAAGTGAGAACTGACTCTTGCACGTGTGTGTGCCCCAACACACACACACACACACACACACACACACACACACACACACACACACAGTAATTAAAAGCATTTTTAAAGAAATAAAAATAGGTGCTGGGAGATGGCTTAGTGGTTAAGCACTGGCTGCTCTTCTAGAGGACTCAGGTTTAATTCCCAGCACCCACAAGTCCCCTCACAACTATCTGGAACCCAGATCCAGGTTTTTGGGTTTGTTTTTGTTTTTTTGTTTTTTGAGATAGAATTTCTCCACATATCATTGGCTGTCCTGGAACTCTACAGACCAGACTGGCCTTGATCTTAAGAGATCTGCCTGCCTCTGCCTCGCAAGTGCTGGGACCAAATGTGCCACCCCCTCCTGGCAACAAATCTTACGGAAGGAAGGAAGGAAGGAGGGAGGGAGGGAGGGAGGGAGGGAGGGAGGGAGGGAATTAATGAAATAATCTTGAAAAGCATTCCATAATCTTTAACTCAAAACTTAGAGGAGAGTTTGCTACACTGAGCTAATCATGGGAAAAAGCAGGCACACACTCCATCACTCAACTCAGAACTGGGCTTTGCCAAAAATAAATAAACAAACAAAACATTTGAAGTCTGGCTTTCTACAAAGAACTATTTAGCAGTATGACCATAGAACACGGTGCTCAGCTAACAAGAGGGGAACGTTTCCCTACAGAGAAGCGGGCAGGAAAAGGACAATGACGGGCGGTGGGAGGGGCTTGCCTTCAGCTGTGTTTAGTTATACACACGTGTGTGTTCACAGGAGCAAGCTTCTTTCAGAGACTTACTGACTAACGGACTTGCTCTGCTGCTAAGGCCGTTCTTGAGTTCCTGCATCTCTGAGTTCTGGTGTTACAGGTTTGCATCACAATGCCCCATGCCTCTGATTTTTAAAAACACTTTTATGAGGTATTCTATTTATCCCTACTTACTAAGAGCAAAGAGACAAACATCAAGTCCCGAGCATTTTACATACACCACCCATTAGTCTTCCCAATTACCCCATGAACACAGATGAGAAAACTGAAACAGAGGAAAAACTGAAAGCCTTGCCAAAAACCTGGTGTGGTGGTGGTGGTGGTGGTGGTGGTGGTGGTGGTGGTGGTGCACTCCTTTAATCCCAGCATTTGGGAGACAGAGGCAGACAGATTTCACTGAGTTTGCGCCAGCTGGTCTTTATGAGTTCTGGCCAAGTGAGACCTGGTTTTAACAAATCAAACCCAAACCAAGCCCTTGCCAAACTGTCACCACCTAGAAGGGATGGACTAAAGCTGAGATACGTCAGACTCAAACTCCTGCACCCCCCACAGTCCCTTACACTGCTAGAGACATGGCAGCCATGCTCGGTGTACTTGCCTGAAGGTCAGTGTCTGTCCACAGAAGTAGGTTGGAGCGCTGGAGTAGAGAACGCCCGAGGACTCAGCGTCATTTCGCAGTGCTATGTTCCTCCGACTACTCAGACTGTACCCTTCAAAGCCAGTTGTCCACTCTTCAAAAGAAAGACATTAAAAACTAGTACAATCTTTTCAAGAGTATACTGAATACAGACGTATTAAACAGAATTGAGTCAAAGTAATTACTTAGAGGGCTCCTGACTAAGTTTAATAAAAGATTTAGTAACAAGGTATTGGAGTTAGAGCCACAAATTACAAAAAAGATTTTGGTCAATTCCTATACTTATTGAAAAAAATCAAATGATGATCATCTTCTATTTTAAAAAAAATCATGTTCAAATTTAATACTTTGAGGTTACCACAACCTGATTAAATAAATAATACAGCATGTATTCACATATAAGGATCTGAGTTCAATCAACAGCAGCATATTAAAAATGAATAAGCAAAGCCTTTAATCCCAGAACTCTGGAGGCAGAGGCACGCTTCTGAGTTTGAGGCCAGCCTGGTCTATAACATGAGTTCCGGTACAGCCAGGGCTGCAAGAGACCCTGTCTCAACAACAATAACAACAACAACATGAATAAACAAAACAGCTGGAGGGACGGCTCAGGGGTGAAGACCACTTTCAGAGGATCAAAGTTTGGTTCAGTCAGCTCATTGCTGCCTGTAATTCATGGCTTCCACGGGCATCAGAAAACATGTGAACACATACTCACACATATACATAAATAAATAAATAATAAATCAAATCTTAAATTAAAAAAAAAAGGAAAATAAAACTAAGTGTATCTAGGTAGCCAGGTATGTGGCACATGGCTCTAGTGCAGCTGCCTGGGAAGTTGAAATAGGACTTGATTTCAAGGTCATCCTGGTCAACACAACAAGACCCTAACTCTTCCAGGAAAAGGAGAAAAAGATCATGTCTTTTAAAACAGCAGTGGAGGACACAGACCAATTTCAACTTTATAAGACTTTTATGAGGGTTTAAAAAAAATAAGAACCAGCTAGGCGGTGGTGGCACACACTTTTAATACCAGCAGTCAGGAGGCTGAGGCAGATGGATCTCTGAGTTCAAGGCCAACCTGGTTTACAGAGTGAGTTCCAGGACAGCCAGGGCTACACAGAGAAACTCTGTCTTGAGAGAAAAAAAGAAAAGGAAGGAAGGAAGGGAGGGAGGGAGGGAGGGAGGGAGGAAGGAAGGAAGGAAGGAAGGAAGGAAGGAAGGAAGGAAGGAAGGAAGGAAGGAAGGAAGGAAGAAAGAAATCAGTGTCCTAGGCACTGTTTTCAATGTGTGGTTTTAGGTGATACTCAAATTTAAATTCCAAAGATAAGAGCTAACGAAAACAATTTACATGGAGTGATCTGAGTTTTACGGGCAGGTTCCCCGATCTTCTCTCAATTCAAGCTTATCCTTAGCAAAGTGGTTACATGTGCACTCTCAGCACAGGAGGTAAACTTTCCTACACCCATTGAGCTGCAGGTGTGACAAGAAAGAGCGTACCATGAGGCACCAGAGTGGAGTGGCCTGTCTGGGGGACACTCCAAGGACTCCACTCCTGCCGGCCGTCTCCTCGGGCGCAGACTCTGAACTGATAATCAACATTGGGGTCTATGTGCAACACTATGAATTCAGTTTCAGAACCTACATACACGTCTTCAAAATGATTTGCAGTGCATTTACGGAACTGGAGCCTGTAATCTTGGGCTGTAAAGTCATCATCCACCTGTGGAGAAAGATTTTTTAAGTTAGCTAAAAACCATGGAACAAATGGGGCAATATGGATCACTATGAGGAAAGCGCAGGCAACATGTTTTCCTTTTGCTTTTCCTGAGATAGGGTCTCACTATATGTAGCCCAGGCTGGCCTTGAACTCATGGTAATCCTTCTGCTTCAGCTTCCTGGGAACTAAGATTATAGGTATGCATTATCATATCCAGTTGCTTCTCCTTTTCTCCTTCTTCTGTTTCTTTCTGCTTGTTTGTCTGTTGTGGAGAGCATGTCTTACTCTTACCACCCAGACTGGCCTTGAGCTCACTCCCCATCCTTTTGCCTTGCCATCCCAAATGCTATGAAATTACCAGGCCTGGCTACTTCCTTCCATTTGTGTGTGTGTGTGTGTGTGTGTGTGTGTGTGTGTGTGTGTGTGTGTGTATGTATATGTATGTATGTGTGTGTATATATATGTGTGTGTGTGTGTACACATATATGCATACCACAAAGCACGTGTAAAGGTCAGAGGACAACTTGTGGGAATCAGTTCTTTCCTACTATGTGGGCTCCAGGAATTGAACTCAGCTTGTCAGACTTCAAAACAATTCCCTTTATCTTCTTAGCCATCTGACCAGCCTGCCTTTCTTTCTTTCTTTTTTTTTTTTTGTATTGATTACCCACTCTGAAGCTAGGGGTGGTAACATTGCTTCTAATCACAGTACCTGGAAAAGTAAACAAAAGACTCAGTAGTTAAAGTCTAGCCTTAACTACATAGAGCAAGTTCAAGGCTAGCCTGGACTACATGAGATTCTGTCTCAAAAATAGCTCAGCAGGAGGGTACGTGACACAAAGCCGGGAGATTTGAGTTCAATCCCCAAGACCCACATTGTAGGTGAGAGACAACTCCTGCACAATGTCCTTCAACCTCCAGACGCTTAACATGGCATGCACGTGTACACACACACACACACACACACACACACACACAAATGCAATTAAAAAAGAAAAAAGGGCTGGAGAGATGGCTCAGTGGTTAGGAGCACTGAGTTCAATTCCCAGCAATCACATAGTGGCTCAACCATCTGTAGTGGGGTCTAATGCTCTCTTCTGGCATAAGGTGTACATGCAGATAGAGTACTTATTTATTTACATAATAAATCTTTTTAAAAAAAGATGAGGGAAAGAATAGCTGAAGAGAGAGGCACATGGTTATAATCCCAGAACTTGGAAGGACAAGGCAAGGGGATCACACACCTGGGATTAGACTAGACCACACCAAACTGTTTGTTCAGTTTATTATTTATTCTAGGTGTAAAGAACTAGGAGGATTCATCAGGCCGTGGTGGTGCACACCTTGAATCCCAGCACTCAGGAGGCAGAGGCAGGTGGATCTCTGTGAGTTCAAGGCCTGGTCTACAAAGTGAGTTCCAGGACAGTCAGGACTGTTTTTTTGAGACAGGGTTGCTCTGTGTAGTTTTGGTGCTTGTCCTGGAATCTTGGTCTATAGACCAGGCTGGCCTCGAACTCAGAGATCCACCTGCCTCTGCCTCCTGAGTGCTGAGATTAAAGGCATGCACCACCACTGCCCAGCTTGTTTTTGTTTTTTAATGTACATTGACATTTTGCCTGCATGCATGTCTGTATGAGGGTGCCAAATCCCCTGGAACTGGAGTTACAGACAGTTATGAGCTGCCATGTGGGTGCTGGGAATTGAACATATATCCTCTGGAAGAACAGCCAGTACTCTTAACCACTGAGCCATATCTCCAGCGCCCAGCCAGGGCTGCTACAGAGAAATCCTGTCTCGAAAAACGTGGGAAAAAAAAAGTACCAGGGCTCAAACCCAGTACCTTGTACAGGCAAGCACTCTCCCACTGAGTCACAGTCTCAGCTCCACAGCACGTCCTAGGCCAACCTGGGCAATAAGGCAATCTCAAGCTTAAAATAGAATTTTGAAAAGGAAAAATGCAAAAAATATGAATAAAGAAATATGAATAGCCAAATATGGAAATACAATGTAAAACCATAATGAGGTAGCATTTGGGCAAAAACATAAGTCTAACAATCCTTAAATACTGGTGAAAACGAAGAATAGTAGGTATTCACATCAGGTGTGGTAGCATGTACCTGTAATCCCAGTACTTGGAGGGTGAGACAGGAGGATTGTGATAAGTCTGAGGCTAGTCTGATCTACGAAGCAAGTCTCTGCTCTCCGTCCAAAACCAAGTCAAAAAATCATTTAGGGAAAACATCTGGCATTATTTAATATAGATCCAATAATCTCATAATTTGCCAGGCAGTTGTGGCGCATGCCTTTAATCCCAGCACTTGGGAGGCAGAGAAAGGCGGATCTTTGTGAGTCTGAGGCAAGCCTGGGCTACAGAGTGAGATGCAGGAAAAGCAAAAGCTACACAGAGAAACCCTGTCTCAAAAAAAAAAAAAAAAAAAAGATCTCATAATTTTACTGTAAGGTATACTTAAGAAAAACTTCCATGTATGCACAAGGAAACACAAATAAGAACAATTACAGTGAACAACTACAAAATAATAAGCAAGCGAACAAAAACCTGGAAATAAGCAGAGCCCTTGAGGGTTTCTGTTATGGAGCTTTTTTGGTGGTGATGGTAGTGGAGAATGTAGGTACCGATAGAGTCCTTGTTTTAACCCAGCAAAATCATCTTCAATTAAAAAAAAAAAATCATTTAAGGAAATAGCTTGTAGAAGCCATTTAGTGTACACTAGTACAGATATGTGTTATGTATGTGTTCCTATACATGTTCCACAGCATGATGTGGAAGTCAGGGGACAACTTTTGGGAATCAGTTCTCTTTTTTTTCTCTTATTCCCATAACAGGGTTTCTGTGTATAGCCCTAGCTATCCAGGAACTCACTCTGTAGACCTGGCCTCGAACTCACAGAGATCCGTCTGCCAGTTCTTTCTTTTCAACATGTGGATCCCTGCGATCAAACTCATCAGGCTTGGTGGCAAGTGCCTTTACCTACCAAATTATGTTGCTGGCCCTGAATAATTTATCAACAGCCAAGATATGACATGGTTTCTAATTAAACTATATAAATAAATAAATAAATAAATAAATAAATAAATAAATAAATAAATAAATAAATAAATGGAACTTTAAAAAAAAAACTTTAAAAACAGAATTCTGGACAATACTAAATGTAAGGGAACTACAGAAACATTTGTTTCATCTTTTTTTTTTTTTTTTTTTTG